CTTCCCTTCCCTTCCCTTCCCTTCCCTTTTCCCTTCCTCTCTCCTCCTTTTCCCTTTCCCATTCCCCTTTTCCCTTTCCCCTTTCTATTTGTATTGGAAAATACAAAGCTTTTGACACAAATATTTCACTCTCCTAGGAGAATGAAACGTGCACCGTGGTGCATTTCCAGGCACTCATGTCTCGGAGAAATTTTTTCTTTGCCCATTTTTGAAAAAGTAAGGGCACTTTGGATGAAATTGTCAAAGAAAGGCACCAAAGGTACCAAAGCAGTAGAAATCTGATATCAGAACAATTATTAAATACCACTATTACCATGCATCAACAGATTTATATGAGTTTGTAAATTAAGTTGGCATAGCTATAATTACTGAGGAACTGTTTTGGTTTTTTAAAATTTTCTTTCAAATTGACATGAACCCTATTGAAAATATTATGATTCAACACCAAGCTAATGCATCTTCCAGGGGTTGCTGTGTTCAGAGGTGGCTTGGGGTCTTTTTTAAAAACCTTCCCCTCTTCTCAGGTGACAAAGGTGAGGATTAAGTGTGGATTTCCTGTACAATTGCAAGCATCCAGGCAAAACTCCAAGATGCTGTTATATTCCAGTTGTAAGACACTGATGGAGACAGGGCATTAACATGTAATATCTTTCCTTCTCGGTGTAAATGATGAGCAAAGTGACTCTTGGTATCCATACTAATAGACCAGTTTAGCGTAACACAGGCAGTTTTCTGAACTTGCTGGTCACCCAAAATCCTTGTCTGATTTCCTTTAAAAATAAACAAAAAAAGCTTTTCTCCAGAGAAAGTCAGACCATTTCAAATGGGTTTGTTCCTTATGGTCCTGTAAATTTTGCTATTTATTTCTTATGCTAAAACTATTGTGTATATCTTGTCAATGCAAAACTTAAGGCAAACACCATATGAATGCCTGAATGCACAGACTTGGGTTTTTGGGCAGTTAATTTAACCTTTTTTTCTGGATTTGATATTGCAGGGATACCACTGGCATAAAGCTGAAAATATTTTATTCTACTAGAATGCAGACTAATGCTGGGGTGAAGCTGAGAACACAAATATAAGGTCTCAAATGCTCCCATGCCATTCCAGTAAATCCCTGATGACCTTCCTTGCAAGGCACAGGCAAGGGAAGTTACTTGCCTTTACCTGGCACAGAGATCAACACAGAGAGTCTCTGGATCAGGGACAGCAGATGGGGGTAGGGGAGGCACCACAAAAACATGACACAAATGTTTGTGGCATCATTTGCATGCTGAAAAACTGTTGTATTCTTGTCCTAGAGAATAGCTGGTTTGTATCTTAACATGGAACACGGTATGGTGACCCTGATTTCAGCCTGCCTCTGATTAGGCTATCCTATTTTCTGCATCTCCCATTCAAACCATTTCTTGGTATAAGCAGGTATTTGTTGGGTGACTGCAAAAGGCATAAGTGGTACATAATAGTTACTTTTACTGCAAAATGGCAGCTCGGGCAGCAAGTCTTCCTTCTGGAAAACTGAGTGAGTCTACCTATCGACATCTTAGTGGTACTAATTTAATTTAATAACTAGATTGTGCATTTTTGTAACTCCCATAGGAGTCCAACTCAGTGCAGTGACAGACAGTATACCTGACAAGCCTTTATATATGTCCCTCTATTTAATGCATGTGTCTAAATTGGGGACTTTCAACAAAACAACTGATGACTGCAGCAAAACGAAATGAGATCCCACTCCTTTTGCTAAGTGAGTTTAAGAAAGTTTAAGCCCTTTAGGGAACAGCACTTTACCTCACCTCACCACAGATGTCACAGCTATTATGTGGCATTCTTGTGCTCTTCCTCGAGCCTAGCAATCTGTATTTGACCAGAGTCTTCCAGAGACGTTTCCTGCTGATGCTGAGAGTCCTCAGCAAGTTGAGACCCTGCTCCTTCCCTGACTGCCTGCTCTAATAGCTACTCATGTCAAGTTCATATCAGCACCTTATTTTTTCTTACTCAAATTTTCCATCTGCAGTGTCCAAACACTGGGAACTCATTATACCTACCTGAACTTGACAAGTCATTCACTAACTTGTATTTTCTTCCTGTCAAGGTTTTCCAGGTCACAATCAAACAATGTTTCATTTTATTTCTGGCAGTCTGAACATCCCAAAACCTTTGAAGCTCCCACATGTCAGTATTTCCTCTACATACTACATCCTTTTTCTATGTCTTTTCTGTGTCTCAGCAGCATTTCAACATCCTTTATAAAGCCCAAGAGAGGATGCAACGTGCCCCTGCCCAAAAGCACCTTCAGTGACTAAAACGAATGCAGAATAGCCTAGCTCAGATAAATATGTCTGCTTCTAATCCCCTGAATCCTCTGAACATTCAGAGTTCCTCAGTATGGTCTCCCAATGCTGTGCATACAGATCAGTCCCTACTTATTTGTTAGCGCTCTCTTGAGGCACACAGAAAATGCATTTTTCTCAAAGTGTTTCAGAGGGGGCTGACACTGGACCCTTGTGTCACCATAATCCTTTCTCAAGCATCTGCTTCCTAGGCTGCAGTCTCCCATCCTGTGGATCTAGTATGAAAACCTTGGCCCTACTCAGAGGAGAAATACTCCAAAACACCACCACCTCCCTTCATGAGCACTCACTTCATGTTTCCTTCATGAACAGCCCAAATGGCAATTGTGTGAAAATCCTTTCTGCTCCCGCAGAAACTCAGCGAAAGTTTTTCCTTGGTGGTAAGAACCCCAGGCCACCCCACCTGCTTGACACCATCTACATGACACTGCCCACCACATCCTCGCAAGCCTGCTCCAAGTACCCACAGCCACCCCAGCCACCCCAGCCACCTGGGCTGAGCATGCTTTTGGCCCTGTGGCCAGCCTCAAAGGCCAGCACAGCACCAGGGAAAACGCTTTTTTCCTGGGCATACGCAAATGCTCCAGATTGCTCTGAATGGTTGTCCAGCTCTTGCCGCTGCTTGATATTGTCCCAGCATCATCTGCAGATTTTCTGTTATCAGTGGCTTTAGACTTGCTTTGAGAATGCTGGCAAAACCATTGCTGTACATTGGGCGCAGTGCCACTCCATGGAGCATTTCAGTGGGCATATCTCACACCCTGATGGCTCCCCATTCCCTGTTGCCCCTTGCAGCCTGCCAGTGAGCCAACATTTTGTCCATTTAATGCACACAGTTTTCATGAACTCTGTTTCACCTTCATGCTGCAGACAGGATACCACAGAGCTCTGAAAACAGAATCATAGAAAGGTTTGAGTTGGAACGGACCTTAAAAATCATCTCCAAACCTCCTGCTGTGGGCAGGGACACCTTCCACTAGACCATGTTGCTCAGAGCTCCAGCCAAGCTGGCCTTGAACGCTTTCGGGGATTGGACATCCACAGCTTCTCTGGGCAACTTGTTCCAGCACATCACCACCCTCATAGAGAAGAATTTCTTCCTAATATTCAATCTAAACCTATCCTCTTTCAGTTTAAAGCCTTTATCCCTTGTCCTATCACTACGTACTCTTGTAGAAAGTCCCTCTCTAGCTTTCTTGCAAGATTTTGCTATATTTATGGAATTAACTTTTTTGAGCCAAATTTTTATTTTAAAACAAGATGAGCACAATTGTTTACTAAGACAAATTAAAAAAAAACTGTTAAAGGACCCACATTCTTACATGCTATTACAATCTGTGGACACAGTAATGGCTGATGAAACATCCACAGCTAGGAGCAGAGGTATGAAACACAGACAGAGTACTATAGAATGTTTTAATTGCTCCACATATTCATCTCTGATATCTTCATCTCCTCCATCACTCAGATACCACGAAAAAAAGTGGATACACAAATAGAAATAGAAAGCTGTAGTTTGTTTTCACCTGATACAATAAGCCAAAGTAAAAACCTTAAAAAGAAATAGGACCTAAAGATGCATATTTCCTGAGAAGAGTTACTAGATCATACTGTCTAGCTTTTAGTCTGGAAAAGATTTCCCAGTCCTCTAAATATAGACTCTTGAAATTACCCTGAAGCTACCAGTAATATAAAGTCTGACTGTGGCAAATATTCAGGAGACATTGTTGCAATACTTCCCTGGGTATTGTTTAACTGGTGAGCCTGGCAGGATTGCTGCTTGCAGGGATTATGCACCAAGAGTCACATGACTCATGCTATCAGTTAAAACAAAGCAAACCATTTCAACACAGGTCAGGGACTGTTTGCACACTGTGTTTATGCCTCCTCTTTCATGATCCCCTAGCCCCAGCTGGAAGCACAACAGGGAGGAATCTCGTTCTGGGCTGGAAATCTAGATATTTGCTGCTTTTCTTCTGCTGATTTAAACAGCCAGCACTTGTACATTGACAAGGCAACTCACAGGTCACAATGTGCTCAGTAGTCAGAGTCACTGATGACAAAGGAATCAGTGTGCAAGTAGACAGCTGTTGCCATCAGGGATCCAACACAACTCTCCTCAAAGTGCCACTGCATGGGGGTGAAGGCAACAACCTGGCAGAGCCAACACATCAGAGAGATGCTCCTTAGGTAAGGCCAATTTTCAGGAGGTTTCTTCTCCTTCCCAGAAACAACCTGAAGAAAACTTGGAAACTTTTTGCCTTTGCTGTACCTGGGTGAGTACAGGTATATCTTACAGCCCCAGTGACTAATGGCTGGGCTGTTGCCTCAGTTGGTACACAGCAGTCGTCTGGATGACTCAGGGCTCTGAGGGAGAGTAAAGAGGGTGCAGGGTGAGTGAGCACATGGATGGCATATCTTAACTCCGTGATGGGTAAATAATTCCTTTCCTGTGAGTGTTTAAAAGGACTGGGAACACGCTAAGCAGTACTTCTTTTGAAGATCACCTGTAGATGATTCCCAGGGTCTAGGAGAGAAAAATGCTGTAGGAAAACTCTGCTGAGTTTGACACAGTACTTGGTACCCTCATGATGATTGATAGAAAGAGTTCTAGGAGTCTCCTTAATAGATGTCCAGAAAAAGTACCCAGGCTTTAAAGCATTCCCAAACCAAGCCCTAACTTAAAGCTGACTCTTGGCTCATAGGCATTCAGCAGAGAGGCACTTGGTACCAAATCAAAAGTTGGTCATAAAAGCAACACTCACTTCAAGCCACAACATCATGGTAAATAGTCATCTACGCTGCTGATATGTAGCTCTGAATGTCTCCTTCCCAAGATCTTGGACTCCTAGGGGCCTTTGTCCTTTAATCTAAGCAGAAATTGGACTTACTTGTGGTTGTTACTGCCACAAAGAAGGAAAGTATATATCCTTAGTTTTCTGGAAGTTCTTGATATGTAAGGTGTGCCCCAAGGTCTAGGGGTTTTAAGGAAGCTGAAAAGTGCCACAGGCAATGATGAGTCTGTTTTGATATCAGTTGTAGGGACAGTGATCTTCCTTTCTAAGATGGACCATGATTTTCCCTTGGTGCTCCACTCTTTTCACATCTGAAAATTCTGACCAGCACTCAGCAGCAGATCTGCAATGTCTCTGCAGTCCTGTGCCTTGGGAGAGCTGGTGGCATCCTCTCACCTCCAGACGAAATTATCATCCAGCTTTGGCCTTTTGGATCAGCCAAAGGATGAAATCCTACTTGCAGCTTAACCTGATTAATAGCTTTTTCTTAAGGGGTAGCTCTAAAATTTGGAAGGGATACAGTGGCATCTGCATCTCGGTCTGCACGCCTCTGGTATTTAACATGGATTTAAGTACTGTTTATGGAACTTTATGATGCTTTTTCCTTTCTCTAACATTCCAGGAGGTGGCATGTACTTGCAGTGACACTAGAGAAGCTCTTTCTTTCTGCTGAGCTCTTTGTTCCTTGTTTACTTTGGGTATATATCATATATGACACTGACTCCTCTTATTTAATGATCTCTAGCAGAAATTGGGAGAAATGTTCATAAAAACATGTCTCAGAGACACACTTTTCATCAGATATCTCACAAAGCCATCAAAGTCCATGGCTGTGGCCTGCATTTGCCTGCATTCAGAGACAATGCTGGCAGGCAGCTGGTACATCCCTCTCAGTACAGCAGAGAATCTGGCACGCCAAATCATTACCAGTTTGATGATACTCCCTCAGCATCAATGCCAGTGTTGAAATCAAGGACACAGCCTTCAGGGCTAATGGGAACAAGACACTTGTCATGTTGTTATATGAAATATACTCTGAAATTAAATTATGTCATTGCATTACTGTTCTTTATTCTTCTCATGAAGCTTAGTCCTTCAAAGGACAATTATAATGCAGACTGCATATTATAAATATCTATGCAAAAATACCACAGGCTCTCCTTGGGAAGAAGAAGTTAAACTATAATTGGCTGTTCACTCCTGTTTTTCCTGCAGCTTTTATGCCATCATTTCTTCCATCGATTTGTTGGACACCATCAAAGACATTACCTCACTACCCCCCATTGCATGTTCATGTTTTTTCTCTATTGACTCTAGGCTATTTGAGATCAGGATGGTTTCTCACAGTGGGAACACACATAATATATATAACAGTGCTACCTGTAGGTCAAAGAAGTGTACCCAGGTTAGCTTCTTTTCAGGAAAGTTCAGCGCCAATGAGCAAAGCCACAGCTGCAGGAAGCTTATTGGAAGTGATAAACATCACTTTAGAAGCTCACACTGCCTCAGATGCTCTTCCCCTCAGCCAACCTCCAAAGCCGGACAAACACTTGGTTTGTCAGCCAATGTCATGCAGCTATACTGACTGCTGGAGTATTTTGATGTGTCAACAGCTAGTTAGGCTAAAGCAGACTCAAGCTCAACTAGAGTGCTGCAGGATTAATTTCACCTAACTGTAGTCACATACAACCGAATAGACTAAAATTAGACAAGACTAGACTTGAATAGAATAGTTTAATTTGAAGTGACCTATAGTGATCATCTACTCCAACTGCAAATGATACCCAGTCAAAGCCAGGTGTCTATGTTTCCCTCTTCTTTGTCAAGGCTGTTGTGTCCATGTGATGGTTCAGTCCCACTAATCTAGACAACACTTACTTTGTCTACAGGCAGAGCCTAGACTAGTTCCATGGCTTTCAAGCTCACAGCTGCTTCTCAATCTGTTTTAGCTTCAAGACAATGTTTGTGTCCCCTTTCAATCCCAGCTAACCTCCCTGATGATTGTTGCAGCAACTCAAAGTTGCAGCTCAGCCCTCCTGATGGGCTGAGTGTCACTCCCAGGGCGGAGGAGGACAGCTCACCCCTCTCCTCCTCTCCCCATGCAGGAGCACATAAGGGACAGACTTTCTTTCCCCTTCACTCTTCTGCCCTGAGGAAAGCATGCAGGACAGCCAGCGAACTGTGGAGGGATTTTCCCCCAAGGAAGTAGAGAGTCAACAGAGCAGCTGCCATTCCTCCGGTCCCCACTAGCCAGTCTGGCTTCAGCCCAGTTGGTAAGGCATCGAGTTCACTCACAGGGATGTAATGAGAGCTGACTGTGCCATGCTCCCACATGAAGTGGAGCTTATGTGGAGTCTGGGAGATTTGTGTCCAGCTCTTGATACCCACCTGGCTCTTTGCTGTGGAGTAGACCATCTGTTTTGCAGAAGGGACTGCATGCACAGTAAGCACCTGGTGTCTGGAGAGCTTCAATCAAGCCATCATTTCTCATCAACACCCATTGGTTATTCACAGCCAGCAGCTAATCAACTCCTCAGAAGATTTTTCTCTCTCTGACTGGAATGTATCACCTTACTCCAAGCTGAAAGAACTGCATTTTCCCCTTTAAAGAGAGAATGAACAGGGTTAGATCATTAATAAATCTCATATCTGTTCCTGTAACAGAAGCAGAAGACGAGGACATTGTCACTGATGGACTATGGATTACATATTCACTCAGGTAAATTCCACCTGAGGGCACTGCTGTTCAGATATCTGTCATTCACAATAAATAATTTTAGCAAGCAAATTCAGCCCCAATCTAATAAAGCACCTGCTTGTGTTTAATTTTAAGTGACAGAACTATTTGTGCACCTACATTAAGTCTATGTTCAACTGCTTAACTGAATTATAACAGCATTGTATATTTAAACTTCCAAAAAGGAAGAACTTTATACAGTCTTGGTTAGATGACTTACTGTAGTTTCATCTGGATTTTGTTTCAGCTTGCTCTGCTCACATTCCTGAACAGAGTAAACAGTAGGCAGGCTTAAACACAGACCTGTAAGACATCATCCTCCTAGAATCATAGTGTTGTTAAGATCGGAAAAGACCTCCAAGGTCATCAAGTCCAACCTTTGACCAAACACCACCATGCCAATTAAACCACAGCACTAAGCGCTATGTCCAGTCATTTCTTGAACACCTCCAGGGCTGTTGATCCACCACCTCCCTGAGCAGCCCTTTCCATTGCCTAACCACCCTTTAAGTGAAAAAATTCTCCCTGATGTCCAACTAAACCTTCCCTGGTGCAGATTGAGGCCATTTCCTCTTGTCCTGTCCCTTGTTGCCTGGGAGAAAAGACTGACCCCCACCTGGCTACCATCTCCTTTCAGGTAGTTGCAGAGAGTGATAAGGTCCCCCCTAAGCAAGGTTTTCTCCAAGCTAAACAACCCCAGCTCCCTCAGATACTACTCCTCAGACTTGTGCTCTGGTCTCTTCTCCAGCTCCACTGCCCTTCTTTAAACACACTCCAGCATCTCAATGTCTTTCCTGTGGTGAGGAGCCCAAAACTCAATGCAGGATTTCAGGTGTGGCCCTACAAATGGTGAGTACAGGGATCACTGCCCTAAGCCTGCTAGCCACACTAGTTTTTCTACAGACCAGGATTCTTGGCCACCTGGGTACACTGCCAGCTCATGTTCAGCACATTCCTTGGTCTGAAAGCATAATCCCAGAGAGATGATATTCCCTCAGCACCAACACAACATCTTGACCACTGGATGAGAGATCAGACATCGCATTGTACAGCCTGATCTGTTTTCTAAGATCCATTATTCTTACAGACAGTACTTAGGTTTTACTTTTTTTCCAGTATTTTATGCTGTAGACTTTCCTTATTTTTAAACCAGGTTTTACCCACAGGATGGGATTTGTCTGAGCAAGGAAAGTTGCTGCATGGTTCTTGCTACAGGCAACATCAAGCCCAACATTTCTTGGCCTTACATATTTGCAGACCATCTGTGGAAACTCTGTTGGTCATGAACTCTGCATTTGAAGCCTTGTGACAGATTACTTACTGAATATGTATTGACTCAATAAAAACATACTGAAGCATAGGGAGAAAAGGAAGGCTTCATGGTAAATGGCTCAGGATCTATATGTTCATTCAAAATGCCTTGTTAAAGCATCCAGCAAATCTTACCCTAAATATTAATTCAAACCTGTTTAGTGGATTTGTGCTCTAATGGTGAGAAAAAAATTATTCTGTGTGCTGTATTAGCCATGTCAGGAAAATTGTAAGGGAAATTTCTTTACCTGCATACTGTCAAAGTAGGAGACAGTAAAACTAGCTGGGGAGGCAGAGAGGTGGCAAAAAGTTTATAGAGGACGTCTCTAAGTATTACAGAGAT